AGCGTCCTGAGTGCTGAGATTACAGGTGTGTGGCACCATGCTCGGCTGGTATTGGACTTTGATTCTTGTCTCTGTACTGAGATACAGCCCTGGCCCTTTCTTCTTTTTCTTCTTCTTCTTCTTCTTCTTCTTCTTCTTCTTCTTCTTCTTCCTCTCCTCTCCTCTCCTCTTCTCTTTTTTTTGTATCAGCCGATGGAACTCATGACTCATGAACGTTTGCCAAGTAGGCACTTATGCCCTTGAGGTAAACTTCTGATCCTCTTTCTTCTTGTTCATTAATTTTTAACCTTTAGTTTTTTGAGAGGATGTCACTGTGTAGTTCATGCTGACTTTGAAGTCACTATGTAGCCCAGGCTGGCCTCAAACTCACAGAGATCCTCCTGCCTCAGCCTCCTAAGTGCTGGAATTACAGGAATGTGCCACCACACTTGGCTTCGGCTTCTTCTAATCATTTCCTGTTCCCTCATGCAGAAAAAAAAAATGTTCAGGATAGACATTAGTTCAACCCACATGTGTAAGTTGGAGCCCAGAAATTGGTCTATTTGTTCCCTTAGCAGCTGGGGATCCACAAGTAATGACTGCGTCTCTTTTCCTCATGTCAGTGCTAGTCTGGGGAACATTAATGGGTCCAGTCTGCCCACCTCCACCGGTACCTCACAAAGTGGGAACCCACTAGAATTGGATTGCTTCCCAGAGAGGGCAAAGCTTGCTAAGTCCTTCCCACATTGTTCTAATTTTCTCCTCAGACTTGGGTTTGAAGGGGCTGTGGGAACAAAACTCCCTGTGTCCCCCATCCCTTGGTCTTTTCTTCCCTTCCTTGAGCTCCTGCCCCTTCCTGGTGACTCTCATCCTGACCACCCTGCAGCTGTGCAAACAAGATCAAGCAAGAGTCCGCTGGCTTCTTATGCTAAATTTTCTCTTCCAGCCTGAAGAGGAAACACTGGTGCTGACTCCAGGAGCCAGCAGATGGCACAGTCTGTCTGCTCTGTGAGGCTGTTTCATTCCTTTCCGAGAGGAGTCCCATACTTGGGCCGAAACACAGACAGCCCCTTGACCAGCTCCCCGGCCAAACAAAACAATATTCAACCCTCTTCCTCTTCCTTTTACCTTTGGTGCAACAACTACCTTCCCAATCTTCAAGCATTGTCCCCAACAGACTGTTAGGGGGAAAGTCCAGCTTCCCTTCCGTGCTCCCTAGGCCTGGACTGTGCTCCCCAAGAGGTCCCTGCGCACTCAGCCACCCTCCTCACCAGGACCCTGGTGGCTCCTCTTTCTGTCCAGGCTCCAACCTGTCCACTGGCAGAAGCGGTCTCAGTCACACACTGTTGCCCTCCCCCAGAGAATGTCACCCATCCGAGGCAGGCCCTTAGTCCAATTGTTCCCACCTTGTCCTGCATACAAGTCTACCTGACTGTCACAGTTTGTCTCTTTTACTTCCCCTGCCTCACTTTTGCTGTCTGCACAACAGTCCGGTACTCTCTGGCTTCCAGGAGGAGACAGAGTATCAGGCAGAGCGGCCCCCATTAAATGGGGCAGACATGTCTCCTCCCACCAGGACCACCCGGCCCACACAGGCACAGACTCTCCTGGATAAGCCCCTAATTGTAAGAAATAAATTTACTTTTTGGCCAAAAAGGAAAAGAAAAGAAACTGGACTCCAGAAACAGCAAAAGCGAGGCTTTCACTCCGCGCTCTTCTGAGAGTGGCGCCCGTACACAGAGACAGGCACGCTCAGCAGAGAAGCTGTGAATTTTCACTCCTAACTCACAGGAGTCCTCCCCCCATCTCCTACGGGCTGGGATCTGGGGTTCACAGTCTGTCCCCAGCAGTCTATTTCCCCCCTGATCTGTTGTTTCCCTCACCATCCCCTTCTTATCCCCTGCTCCCCCTGTATTTCTCTTTGTATTTACTTTTAGCCTTTTGGCTCCTAGGACTTGGGAGACTTGTTTAGCAATTACCTCTCTACCCCAGAACCTTGTCTCTGGCATCTTTGTCTGCTAGCAGACTGGGCTAAGTCTGAGAAAAAGGGCCCGCCAGACTAGTTAATGAAATACGGACCAATGAACATCATTTGTACCCCTTACACCCAAGCCCCACCTCTCAACACATGGGACTTCGGGGGCATCCAGATAGAAACCATAAGACCCAGCCCTTTTTCTTTTGCTCCTTCTCTCGGCTTTAGATGCGTGATTCTGCTCCTGCTGTGATGTGTTTCCCCACCACGGGGCCGATCAAAAATGGAAATCCCCAAACGTGAACCAAAACAAACCTTTTCTCGTTATAAGCAGGTTATCTCAAGTATTCGTTCTAGTGACTCACATGTCTAACAACTTGGGGTTGTATCATACATACATGTGAGTTTTTTTTTTTTTGAGACAGGGACCTACCGCACAGCTCAGGATGGCCTCACACTCACCATATATCCCAGGCTGACCCTGAATTCTCAGTGATGCTCCTGCCTCAGCTTCCTAGGTGATAGGATTACAAGTGTGTGTGCCACACCTCACCATTGTGGGCCTCCTGGATCCTGTTATTTCTTCATTGATCAGACAGGTTACCACGATCCATCAGATGTTCAGTGACTACAGACTCAAACTTTCCACTACTTGAACAGCAAAGTTTAAAAAAAAGAGAATGTTTTGATGTTCGTAACTCTGCTCTACAGTCAATTGGAAAATCTGACTTGAAAAAACCCTGTATGTGCTGGAAATGAGCCAACATGGACACAAAGGGTGATGCTCCAATCTGAGGGCGCAGAGAAGGATTGTGTTAGTGCATGAATGTATTTGTCATTGTGCTTTTTCTTTTTATGCTTTATTTGTGTAAAATATAACCAAGACTCCAAAGAAAGTTAGCGATGCCAGCAGTAAAGCTAAGAAAAACGGTCAGAACCACCAATGTTAAAGAAAAATCATTCTGAAATTTGTTAAAATCCTGAGAAATGAATTTGTGTCGTTTTGGGGCCTCAGAACTGATCTGGTTCCCCATTATTTCTCACAGGAAAAACACGTTCAGTTGATCAACTTTTCGGTGTTCACACACAAATTCGAAATGAGCTGAGTTTGACACTGAGTATCACTGCGTATGCCGAATTCATTTCTCCTTCCCTGGCCTCTCCTCCCCGACTTCCTCCTTTCACTCTCCAGTTGCTGTGCTCTTCTTCGGACTTCAGTATTTCAGCCAGGAAGATGGTGACTCACCTTCCCCCAGGGGAAAGCTCAAAAATGACAGACACACCACACATCCCCTATCGCGAGCTCCACTTCCTCTCTGCTTTCTGAGGCCAGTGGTCACTTTCCAGTGCCTCTGGATATTGGTTTGGTTATAGTCTCTCCACAGTTTATCATCGTTATCTGCAGGAAGCTTGTTCTGATGTGAGCAGCTCCGCCATTACTGAGAGCAAAGCTTCCTCCAGCCCCGCCGCTTCCTTCTTCCTCAGCAGTCTGCCCTCTGGCCATAGTCAGTGTCTAGAAGTCTCTGGAAGTACATGCTTTTTTTCTGCTTCTCCCACCCCTAGCCGAGGATCTTTTATTCATTCTTCGGATTTAGCATAGATATCATCTTTTTCTGGAGAATGTGGTCAATTAGGACTGAGTCAAGTTATTAGAAACTTCCTTGCAGGAAACCAAAAATAATGTCAAAGGAAGAGATACCTTCAGGAAACCAAAAAGAGATCCAGCTAGGCCTCAGGAACTAATTGAAAATAGGCTGATTGCCAGGTGTGGAGGTACACGCCTTTAATCCCAGCACTCAGGAGGCAGGAGAATCACCACAGGTTCAAGGCCAGCCTGAGCTTCATAGTGAGCTGAAGGCCATCCTGGACAACACAGTGAGACCTGTCTCAAAAAGCCAAAAACAATAAACAGGCAGATCATTTCATTGGGGACTTTACCTCTTGTGTTTGTTCTCTGTCCTGCTGCAGGGCTCCCACATTTCCACATTTAGAAGTCTAGTTTCTCTCCTTGGGAGCTTTGTTCCTTCCTGTTTTCTCTTCTGTCTTCCCCCCAGACCATGTGTTCCTTAAAGACAGGACTACGCTTTTAGTGAACTTAGCGGAGTACCTTAAGGCAGACAAGTGGTCTGACCCCTTGATGCACACCCCAGCAGGCACAGAGTTCCTTGGAAGTCAGAGAGGAGCTGCTTTTCTATGTGAGCAATCATGAGGCTTTAGGAAAGAAACCGTCATGTATTTCTCGGCCCATGAAACCCCATAACATGTAGAGATCCCCTCCCCGTATTACCCCTTCCCCACTCCTTCCTCCTCTACCCCCTCCCTTTCTTCCTACAATACTGGGGATTGAACCTGGAGCCCTGTGCATGCCAGGCAAGTGCTCTGGTGTTGAGCTACACCTCCAGCCCTTTTTGCTTCTTTGTTTGCTTGTTTAGGGCACCGAGCAACAGTCCCAGCCTTTTTCAGTTTCTCTCTAAATCGCTAAACTGCCCACGCTGGAGTGTACACCACTTTACAGTCTTCTGGCCTCAGCCTCCCAGAGTGCTAGGATTACAGGCATGGGATACCGCAGTCAGCCCCTCAGCCATTTTACGTCTTTATTTTGAGACACAGTCTTTCAAAGTTGTCCGGAGTGGTCTGAAATTCTCAACCGTCCTGCCTCAGCCTCCCGAGTAGCTGGGATGACAAGCATGTGCCACTACTTCGCAGGCCAAGCGGAGGCTCCCATGAAAACTCTGGCCCCTCTGGGTCTCCATTTAAGTGAAGAGCTAACCTCCGTGTATTTCCGTAGTCCCTCGACGGGAAGGAAAGAACAAAGGCTCGTAGAGCAGGGGTCTTGACAATGTTTCTCTAACTTTCCAGCCACCTGAGATTTTTCTCAGCTCCTTTTTCCCACCTTAGAGCCTTTGAGCATTTTCTTCTCTTAGCTTAAAAAGTTTTCCTGCACCCGCCACTCCCTGCACAGCCTGGTTCCAGGACGCTGCTGCCCCCTACCGGCTGCAATCGTCACAGCAGGGACCGCGATATCGCTTTTTGAAGAACAAAAGTATTTTTAAATTGAAGTTTCTCAACTTTTTAATATGAAAACTTTAAAATCTTTATATAAAATTTGCACGAATAGGAAAATAAATGCCCACATATACTTCATCTAGATTTTTCAGTCACTAACATTTTACCCCGTGATCTCCTCTCCCCTTCATATATAATACTTGTATCTGTATATACATACACATATACATTCTGTTCATGTACATGTATTTGTTCACTTAGGTTTCATTGGACCATTTAAGAGTTTGTGATAGGCATTACCACAGTTTACCTCAGCTGCATTTCTCCCATACAAGCATCATGATCATCACGGTCTTACAGTATTGTTAAGCCAATAGTCATCCATATATGCATATATATATATAATTTCCTCAATCATGTAAGCTATACACTGTACAGCTGTTTGCTTTTGGTAGTAGTGGGGGTTGAACCTGGAGGCTTCACACTGAATTATATCCCCAACTCCTTATTTTTAAACTTTGAGACAGAGTCTCACTAAGTCCAGGCTAAGCTCAAACTTGATTGTTTTCCTGTCTCAGCCTCCCAGAGTGCTGAGATTTCAGGTATTCACCACTGCACCAGGGCAATAGTTGGTATTGCTTTTTTTTTTTTTAAAATCCAGGATCCAACCAAGAATCATGAATTGCATTTGATTGCCAATTCTATTTTTTTTTTCTTTTATCGGTACCAGGGATTGAACTCACGACCGCCTGCTTGCAAGGCAGGTGCTTATGCCGCTGAGCTAGATCCCCAGCCCCTGATTGCCAATTTTTAGTCCCCTTTAATCTAAAATTTCCAGACTAAGGGCCAGGATATATAGCTCAGAGACACAGCACCTGCCCTGTAAGTTAGGTCCCAAGTTTGGTTCCTGGTATCAAAAATAATAAAATTTCCAGACTGTATCATTGAAGAGTCCAGGCTGGTTGTTCAGCAGATTCAGATTAAACTTTAACTTTTTTGGGAAGGGGGAGGTGGCAAGATGCCATTTGCCCAATGCTGTGGGTGCCTCTTCATTTCAGTGTGCCCATTTCAGATCTGAGAAAGCTCTGGAGCCCATGACACCTTGAGCCTGCATGTGTTGTGGGTGGCAGGTATTCGTCTCTGTGCTGGAGCCTCAGCTCTCAGAAGCTGGGCAGTGCAGAAGGCCCAGGGAGCAGGAAGATGAATCATAGCTCTTGTCTCGGCACAGTTCACTGCTGGGGATGGCTGCAGGCTTTGGGGCACTCTTGCTGGGAGCGTGGGGCAAAGTAAGAACTTCTCCTTCTCACCAGGTGGCCAGCCAAAGGTCACCTGTTGCTGTGCCCACTCTCTGTATGTACACCTGGAAGGGAAAAAGAGGGCTGAAGGAGATGACCATGCAAGGGCAGGCCTAATGCAGGATTAGCAAGGGAGCTAGAATAAAAAACACATGGGGCAGGGTGGGTACAGCATGTCTGTAGTCCCAGCACTTAGAAGGCTGAGGCAGGAGAGTTGCAACAAGTTCAAGACTAGTCCGGGCTACACTGCAAAACTATCTCAAAAACAAAACAAAACAACCAAAGCAAAAATATATTGGGAACAAAAAAATGAAAGTAAAATTTACAAAAAAACGAGAAGAGGCAAAGGAAATGGAGAAAAATGGGAAGAGACTGAGACACATGGAAGATGAGGAACCAAAAAACTCAAACACCCAGGCTCAGGGACAAAAGAAAGCAGCAGCATCTTCTTCATTTCTGAGTTTCTTTGGCTTCAAGAATTGGGATAGTTGGGTCAGCAATGGCGGTGCATGCTTCTAAATCCAGCACTAGGAAGGCTGAGGCAGGAGGATCTAGAGTCAAGGTTAGCCTGGGCTACATAATGAGTTCAAGGCCAACTTGAATTACATGACAAGACTCTGTCTCAAAAAAAAAAAAAAAGGAAAGAAAGAATTGGGATGGTCGCAAGAGTTTGTGTTTATCCTCTGCAGAGTTAGAGCACAAAGGCCTCCTCAAGTGTCTCTGTGGGGTTGGTACCCCTGCTTGGGCTGCACTTTTCCAAATAGAACTTCTCCTTCATGTGCAGAAGCTGGGCCCTGGGCCAGAAGTTTCCTGTTCTGCCTCAGGGCATCTGGCCTTTTCCCAGGGCAGCCAGAGGACAGCTTCCTTGTGACACATTTGGGACAGAGGAGGAGCCGAAGACAGAAAGGTGGATGAGGACCAGGGAAAAAGAAAGCACTAGAAATAGCCTCCCCTCCTGAGCATCCCAGGAGCTGCCCAGCAGGGTGACCTCAGCTAATAACACCAGGCCAGGGGTTTCTCATGAGAAAAGGGGCAAGGGGGGCCACCCAGCCCTTTAAGCAGGCAGGGGAGAGGCAGCCTCAAGAGTTCGACCAGGGCCAGATTCCTCTAGAAGCTCATGGACAAGGGCTCCGGTAGAGGAACTTGAGGTTCCCAGAGGACTCTGTGGCAATAATGTGCAACGTCTGTGCTTTTCTCAGGCAGGAAGTGAAGACCACGAAAAGAGCAGAGTCAGGGCTCTTCTGGCCTTGCAGCTGAGCCCAAATGCAGAAGCCCTGCTGTGACCCAGTCAAGTGAGCCACCCTGGTGCCCCACTGCTCACACAGGAGGTGGAGGGGTGTCAAAGGGCTGGACAGGACATCCCGCAAACTCTCCAGCCACTCCCGCTGCTCCTTCTCGGTGGGGCAGGTGAGGACAAATCTTCGGTGGGGGGTGACTATGGTGAGGCCAGCTTTCCAGCGATTCCCTCGGATGCCCTTGGGCAGCTCTTCATGGACTTCGTATCCCTGCTCCTTGCTCCCAAGCAAAACCTGGCCCTGCTCGAAGGCATCCTGAAAACCAGAAGGCACCAGTTCATTTATTTGAGGCCAGCCCTGCCCTCCCCCAAGCTCTATGGTTGGCAAAATGTGTCACTCTTAGAACTTCTGCTAGATGCAAACCCTAAAATAAATGACGAATCATCTGTTGGAAGGATAATCAAGGCATGCGGAGAGCTCCCTGAGCAGCAGGAACTTCCCCGCTTTGTGTGTTACAATTCACATGCTCATCACAGTGACCTCCGAGCACAGCATTCCAAGGTAGCCTGTTTCTTTCAGAGGAGGAAACTGTGGCACAGAGAACTAAGTGTACATTCTGCCCAGGGCAGGCCAGCAGCTCCAATGGCAGGGCTGAAGCCACAGCCAGATCGCTGGCTTCCAAGCCCACACCTCTAACCACTCCACACCTGTCACAGGCCTGAAATCCCAGCACTCAGCTCAAGCCCTGACCTGGATTACTTGGGGAGTAGTTCTTACCAGTGGGTTCTTATAATAAAGCAGCCTCCGCTCCTGGGGATCCAGGGCAAACCACCTTTTCTTGAAAGGCTCTCTCTGCTGCAAAAGAGGGAACCTCTTACCAGGATGGCAAAGCAGGGAACAGAGGTGGGGACCAGCTCAGGTGAAATCCAGGCCCACTCACACGGCCTCCCCAGCTCTGCAGGCTTCAGCAGTGGGACCCCTGCTGTACCTCCCCAGGCCTGGCCCCAGGCTCTCACACTCCCAAGGTTCTTGCTTGTCCCTTAGGGCACACACTCTGCCCCTTCTACTCCCTACCCACATGGAGTGGCCCTGGCTTGGAGTTGGAAGGGGTGCTTCCCTCTTTCTCAGGATGTGGACAAATATCTCAGAAAAAGGAAGCTGGGAAAATCAGAAGTGGCTACTGCTCGGTGATGTCAAAGGTGCTGTTCATGGGCAAGTTCTAACCCAGGTCATGGGGAAGGACGCCCCTCCCCTAGGGAAGAGCTCTGGAGAAGGGCTGTGCCTGGCTGCTAAAGGAAGGAGACTTTTCAACCTGCCCAGCTTTCTTTCAGACAATCTTGGAACACTTTTGACTCTCTTTCTAACAATTACCACACACACATTAAACCTAAAAAAAAAAAAAAAAAGGAGAATGCAGCCACTTCTGGAGACTCTTGTAGGGGCATCTCTGCTTTCCCTCTCCTTCCCCACTCCACACTCCCAGCCATCATCCCCAGGATCCCTCAGCCAGACTTCCAACTCTGAAGCTGCCCCCACTGCGGCCAGCTCAGCCTCCTGGCTCCCACCACACACTGGCGTCACCTTCCCATTCTGCACAGCTAAGTGGGCATGAGGAGCAGGGCCTGGTGGTGGGTTCTGCGAGGGTGAGGGGGGCTGAGTTGGAGGTGATGAGGTTGGGCTGGGGGAGGTGGCAACAGGGGCCTCACTGGCACCTAACACAATGCCTGTGTCTCCTCAGGCCAGTGGCAGCCCTGTCTCCCCTAGGCACTGCTGGTGGGCACCAGGGAACAGAGCACAGGGGTTCTGGAGTACCCCAGAGCTGTCTCCCCAGGGAGTCCCTTCTCAGCCTCATTTTCCTGGGGCAGGGTGGTTCCTGACTTCAGAGGAAAGGAGCTGATGCTAAGGGGGCAGAAGCCCCTGGGCTATGCAGGAACACAGCCTGCTAACTCTGCCTCCACCTAGTCCTGCAACTCAGGAGCTCCCACTTGGGCTCACTTCCTCACCTCCCAAATCCTGCCCTACCAGTGACAGGGCCAGGGGTGGGCCACATGCATCCCTCAAGGGGCGACAGGATGTACCTTGGGTCCAGTCTTCTCCATGAAGCCTTGTTTGAGGTAGTTCCTGGTGATGAGGGGCACGAGCTGGAGGGAGGGAGACAGACACTGACCTCCCACTCACCCATCTGGAGGTGAGGTTCCCCGAAGACCTTGCCTCCCAGACAAAGGGGAAGTGTGGGATGGGGAAGGATGCCTGCGCTCCGCGGTTGGGGTTATATTTGGAAGGTGGACTCGCTGTAATATTCATATTTTAACAAAGCGGGGTGACAGCACCCTGATGCTTGCAGAGCTTCCCAGCATGGCAGAGTCACGGGTTAAGGACTTGCTTCAAAAAAGGACTCCTTGAGGCAAGGCTGTGAGGGAACCCTGTTGGGGCCAGCACCGTCCCGGGACCTGCTGCGTGGCAGGCTTTGGGTGCACTTCTCAGCCTCCCTGGGAGGAGGTCTTGTCAGTCTCAAGCTGGTGGCATGAAGCAGCAGGAGCCACATGTGGGGTCACAGCACTAAGACACTGAAGTGTAAATGCACTGGAGTCTTCTGAGCAGGTGCCCTGCTGAGACCTGGCCATGACAGGGACTCTTGACACAGGGCCACACACAGGTGACAGCACAGCGGGTGGACTAGGAGTCTGCAGACCTGGGCTCTGGCTGCATTCCTGACCCCCATCAGCCATGTGACCTTGGTAAGCCCTTTGGTGTCCCTGTGCCACAGGCAGCTCGGTCCTGTGCCTCCAGCAGCCCTTCCAACTGCCTTCCTGTGCTCAGAAAGGCAGCCGGGAACAGGCACTGGCTTCCCATGCTGGGAGACCTGAAAGGGGTAAGGTTGGGGCCAAAAATGAACATGTCTTCTCCCAAAATAATGAAACAGGCTTTCTTCTCCATCAGAGAAAACAGACGAAGCCCTGGCTGCTCCCCTACTCTGCGTGTGAGCCAGCACAGGGCTGGCTTAGGCCCAGGAAAACCATGGGAAGAAGGGACCCACCAGGGTGGAGTGAGTACTCCTTAGCGCCCGCAGACCACGGGCCTCATGCGATTGCCACAGCAGCCCCAAAGGAAGGCAGCCATCATCCCCACGGTCCCAGACAGGACACTGAGGACAGGAGAGGTGAGATGGCCCCTGCTTCAGAGTCTACATGCCACCCCTCCCTTCTTTCCTTTCCTGGTTCTGGGGATGAAATTGAAGGCCCAACACTCCACCACTGAGCTCCACTCCCAGCCCTGGGTGGAGTCCTGATGAAAGGAATGTCCAGTATCTGGACCCTTCCTTCCAGCCAGGCTGGGATGACGGCCTGACACAGTGCAGATACGCAGCAGGAGAGACAGAGGGGTTGCTGGGAGGAGCCCAGGAGGGCTAAGGATGACGACACTGAGGGAATATTGAGGACATCGGCCAAAGACCAGGTTCCTGGGCACAAGTCAGCAGACATGGGAAGCCGGCTGGAGAATCTGTACTTTGTCTTCCCTGTCCTGCTTGGCAGTCAGCCCTCTGGCCCTCGGGAGCCAGCAGTAGCCAGTTCTGGGCACTGACTCAGCACACCGAGCTAGACAGACCCTGGCCTTCACGGCTCTGACTTCAGCCTTGCTGGGATTGAACCCTGCAGAGCTGCCAGCTGCTCGTGTCACTGGGCCTGGAGTGGACCCTATCACAGACACTGAGCTCCCCACAGCTGGGCACTGAGGGTCATTTAGGCTTTCAATGGGTGTCAAACAGAATAAAAAAATTCCAGGACTAACATGGCCTTTCTCTCCCAATCACTTCAAAACTCTCAGAGAGAAGCCTAAAACAGGGATGGGATCATGGCACCTCAGAACTGAAGGGACGTTGACCTGAAGCAACCAGTATCTTACCAATATGGAAAGAGATGCTCTGAGAGGTACTGTGATCTGCAAGGGTCACACAGCAAATTAGTGACAGTCATGTCTGGGGACAATCAAAATGGGGTTCTCAGGTACAACATTCTCTAGGCCATCACAAGCAGACCTGCTCCTGTCACAAGTGTAATGGGAGGAGGCCAAGGCCTTCCCGAGAACTGAGACCACAGAGCAAAGGAAAAGTCTTCAGTTATTCACTTGTCCTTCCTGGGACTCGGTTTCTCACAAGTTTTTATTGGGAATAATCACGGCATCTAAATGCCTGCTATCAGTGATGCTGGGTAGAAGGCCTTACAAAATAAAATGGGTTAAAAGCACCTTGTAAGTATATGTTGGAATCATCTGAATGGGAGAAGAGGCCAGAAAAAGTGGCCCAAAGGGTGAGCCCCTTGACAATGTGATGTGTGGTCACGTGTCCTGAAACTGCCCTGCTTAACCCATGACCCTCCAGGCTGCCCAGGACCAAACCTTTGGCTTTGACTTCGCCTGCAAAAAAAAAAAGGCCTGGCCTAGACATAGAGGAAAGGTGGCAGAGGGCAGACTGGGGTCCATATCCAGCTCACCTCAGCCTCGGAGAGGTCAGGAAAGGCCATTTTTAGGTACTGCAGGCGGGCTGCTCGGAGAGCATTGAACCAGTCCACGATCTCCTACGGAGAAAAGACGTAAAGGACGCAGACAGTTGGGGAGACTGAGGTGGTGGCAGCTGATCTGGGTGACAGGGTTAGGGCTGTGAGGTTTCAGGCTCACGCAGCCCGCACACGTCCACACCACTCAACTCCACACCTAGGGCCATCCCGGGAAGACTATGTCACAGCCTGGGGCCACCAAGCAAGAGGAAAACAACTGACAGAGCTCAGAGCCACGGAGAGGACTCAGGTGAGCTGCCTGGGATGACACGCAATGGCTTAGGATGTGGCTTTGCCATCTCATCTCTTATCTTGTCCTCTGCTCTCCTCTCCTCTTCTCTCTTCCTTCCTGCTTTCCTTTTATCTGGTACTGAGGACTGAACCCAGGGCCTTGTGTACCCTAGGCAAGTCTACACACCTAGCCCTACCCCAGGCCTTTTTTCTCCCTGTCTCTTTAGAGACAAAGTCTCACTATGCAGTTTAGCCTGGCCTTAAACTCACTTTGTAGCCCAGGCTGACTTCAAACTTCCAGCAATCCCTCCTGCCTCCGTCTCCCAAGTGTTGGGTTTTACAGGCATCCGCCACCATGTCCAGCTTCCTACCCTAAACTCCAGCATGACTTACCCCGCCCTCTGAAAGCCTTCCACACACAACTGCTGACACCCCACACACTGGCCCACTCCCAGCAGACGCTCTTCCCCCATCCCGAGACTTGGTTTCACCATACCTTTCTTACACACACATTTTGTTTTTAAAGTACTGGGGATCAGACTCAGAAACATTCTACCCCTGAGCAACACTTCCAAACCTTTTCACTTTTGCACTTGAATAGGGTCTCGCTGAATAGCTCGGGCTGGCCTTGAACCTGCAATCTTCCCACTTCAGCCGCCAGAAAACCTGTGATCACAGGCGCATCACCAGTGCCCAGCCCACACACAGCTTTTACCTAGAACATGCTGTGCTTCCTGCAGGTTAGCTGAGATGTTGTGATAGACTTTGGGTGGCTGCTCAGCCCAAGGCCTGCTTCTCTAAGAACCGCCCCACCATCCACACCCCATACCCCCACATTTGCAGCTCTGTTCCCTACGCTGACCCTCCCCATTTCTTGGCCACAGAAAGTGGGCAAGGGCTGGTATAATATAGACGCTGAAGTGGGCTTATCAGATTGTTTCTCCCAGGAATTTGGAACTGGGAGGCTGAAAGGCCTGTTCTAATAGCTTCAGTGTAGACTTTAGTGACATATTTTGATTTAACATAGTGACTGAGAAAGTTATTTAAATATGGGGGGTTTTTTTGTTTGTTTTTTGGGTTTTTTTTTTTTTTTTTTTTGTCTTTTTCATTTTTATCGGTACCAAGGATCAAACTCACGACCGCCTGCTTGCCAGGCAGGTGCTTATGCCGCTGAGCTAAATCCCCAGCCCCCTTAAATATGGTTTTGAGGGAAGTAAACAATTTCTGTTTCTCTGCCCTAGGTCAAGGACAGGGTCTACTCTCCCAGAGTTCTGAGGTCACTGTCCGAGGAATTTTTTAAGAAACATATATCCAGGCCTTCACTTTTCAAGGTCTTTCTTGTCATAGATGGTTGGCTCACACCAACCTGAATAAATGTCTGAGCTTTCTCCTCCTTACAGTGCTGAGGATTGAATCCAGGATCTTTCCAGGTGTAGTGGCCCACACCTATAATCTCAGCCCTTGGGAGGCTGAGGCAGGAGGATCATTGAGAGTTTGAGACCAGCCTGGGCTACAGTGAGCTCAAAGCCAGCTTGAACTTCATAGCAAGATCCTGTCTCAAACACACTCACACACACACACATACACACACAAGATCTTTATACGGCTAGGCAAATACTCTACCACTGACCTATATCCCAGCCCCTGCATACATGTTTGGTTCCTGAAATTTGTCTCAATTCTCTGTAGGTTTTCCTTCTTGCCCCAGCTCCCACCCTTCCTATCAGCAGCTCATTTTATTTCTGAATTTCCTTTCGGGCTCCTGCAGACATGAATTTGCAGCTGGAAGTACTGCCCATCTAACAGAGAAGCTGGGGTCCTGAGGACAAGAGAAGAAAGGTCAGCCCCGAGTGGGCAGCTGCACTACCCTGGACGAGTGGGAGGCGGCCAGGCACCTCAGCAGAAGTCCTCAGGGCAGGGCCTGGCATGGAGGGGCTGTCATCGGGGTCTGGCGATCTGGACAGCGGGGAGCAGCAGGGGCACCCCCACCCCGCAGTCTGCGAACCAGGGATCCCCTCTATACCTCCAAGACTGTGCAGACCCCAAGATTCTGGTAAGACCAAGGAAGAGGGAAGATGACTGATTTTTAGGTTTCTTGCTAATCTCAGAAGTGAGAAGGCCCTTAAATTTAGAGACACAAAGTATGACTTTACTTGAGCCCTGGAATATGGAATAACTGGTGCTTGTTAGAAAGAGTGCACCTTCTCACTCTCTATCTCCTTCTCCCTCTCTGTCATCTCACTTTCTTGTTCTCTTTTCTCCTCTCTGGCTCTGCCAAACACAAACACACACACACGCACACACACAGAGCATGTGTTTTGTGCATCCCTATTGTGGCCCCTGCTTGTCACACAGCATCATTAGCACTGTTTCCTTGGATTCCCGAAGCTCTGCCCCTTCATCACCTGGTTCCCCAGAACCTTTGCCCCTGCATGGGCTCAGTGTATCCGGATTCAGGAAATGTGAATTCACCCAGGAATCTGTGACACAGAGATGAGGCTGGCCACTGACTTTGCCCTGGACATGTGCTACGAACAAAAAACTCCAACAGCTATTCGTAACGTGCTCCACAGTTAGGAAACACTGTCACATTCATGGTTTGTGCTCACCCTGCTGGTTCTAAAACCCCTCTGAGAGGTGGGCACAAGAACCCACAAACAAATCCACAGGCTCAGGAGGGTACAGGCCTGTCCCGGTGACACGGCTGAGAGCCACAGAGCCCAGGCCCCAAACCCCTGCTCTTCAGGTTGCTCCACCAGGCACCCTGCCTCGGGCATGAAAGAGACATGGAGGCGCTGGGAGGGCAACCCACGGCCTCCACCCAGTGTGAGGGAACCCCAGGAAAGCCAAGTCCACATGTCTGGTTTTTGGACCCTGCTGCCAAAGGTTCTCAAGCAGCAGAGCCTGTGGGGTGGCCAAATGGGTGTGGGGCTGTGTGACCTCCAGCAAGTTCCTTAACATGTCCACGCCTCAGGAGACATGGACAAAACGTGCTCAGGGCTGTTCTGAGGAATAAGAAATGACACGTGATAATCAGCAGCAGGCATGTCCAGCGGAGATCACAGAGACAAGCTGTCAGCCCCAGCTTCCCTCCTCCCCTCCCCTAGCAGCTCCTCTGTCCCCCTCCTATGGCTCAACACAGGCTCTCACCCAGCTCATTCTCTCGGTCCTGCTCCCCTGCCCAGGCTGATCTCCTGGTCCAGCCAGTGATGCTTCCCCACCTTTGGGGTGCATCGGGATGGCCCAGGTTCCTGGGAGAGGACCGTTGCTAATCAAGCAGGTCTGCTGGACCTGAGACTCCAGCTCTAACTCGTGTCCAGCTAAAGACAGCAGCCAGGAAACAAGGCCTGCACCTGGCTGCCCCCTTCTCCCTCCCTTATTCAGAATCTCTGGCCCTCCCTGGGCACAGCATCTTCAGCTAACTGGACACTCACTGGCGGCTGTGTCCAGCTCCGATATATGCCTACACCTGCCAGCTTCCTGCTCCACATCCCATTCTGCTTTTCTTATAGCTCTGTCTCAGATCAGGAAGTGAAAACAGGCGAAGGCTAGCAGCTGCAGAACAGGCAGTGGAGCACATCCCACCATGAGCCAGGGAGGCAGCCAGCCTGCCCACAAGCCCTGTGGGTTGAGTCAGAGACAGCGGGGGCAGCCCAGGGCCCCTCACCTTCCCACTCTCATGGTACAGGAACAGGTTCCGGGTGTGGTTCTCTCTGCCGTAAGTGATCTGCAGCCCGTGGGGGTGTCCTATCTTCTCTGTTTGGAAAGTAGCATTCAAGTCCTTGATACTGATGACAGCTTTGGGGCCTTTATCCTGAAGGAGAGAAAAAGGACACTCATGGCAGGGGTCTGTAGGCTGACAACCTCACCTTTGCCAAGGCTCCAATGCAAACAGAAAGCCAAGGTGCAATTTGGCTTAAATGCTCTTGCTCTAATATCTTCCCCCACCCCAGTACTAGGGGTTGAACTCAGGGCCTTTGCACTGAGCTACATCCTCAGCCCTTTTTATTTGGTATTTTGAGACAGGCCCTCACTAAGTCACTGAGCTGCCTAGGCTGGGCTTGAACTCACGGTTCTCCTGCCTCAGCCTCCCAAGTAGCAGGGGTTACAGGCATGGACCACCATCTCTGGCCTACGTCATTACTCTTCATCATGTTTTTCTCCAAACATTATTAGAAGACTACTCTTTTTAAAAACTTACTATGAGAAATGCTAAAACTATTTTAAAATCTACTTTTGTCAATACTTTTCCTAACTTTTTAAAAAAAAGAAATGACACCGCCCGGTTGAGGATGTAGCTCTGCAGTGGAGGACTTGCCTAGCAAGCACGAGGCCCTAGGTTCATCTCCTGCACTGCAAAAGAAAAAGAAAAGAGCGGCATCACTAACGAAGCCAGTTCCTCCAAGTAAGACTCACCTTCCCCAGGGCGATCACTGTCATGGGTCTGATGTTTCTCCTAGTTCCTTGTTATTACCTTGTACTCACATATGCACATATCTATAAACAATTCAGTGTTTTCTAATTCACATAAGTGAAATCATGGCACAAGGAGCATCTGTCACTCGATATATTTCTGACATCCACCCGTGCTGCATACAATCTTCTGGTTTGCTTTTGTTACTATATAAAAAGCAACCTACCTTCCTAGCGACCTACATTGAGATTATTTCTGGTTTCTGGCTATCATAAGGAATGCTGCAGTCGGTTTATGTCCCTTGTATACATCTGCGAGGGTTTCTGTGGGTCACAGCGCACATTTGTGGATGGAACTGCCAGGTCGAAGTTTTGAACATCTTCCACTCACTGGCAGCAGCCAACCTACTCCACAGACAGCCCCACTGTGGCTGTAGCCGCACTTCCACCAGTGGCAGGAAAGAGCCCCCCCTTCAATCGAGTCCTCAGGAATGTGCGACACTGCCAGATTTTTTTTTTCAGATTTTTAAATTGTTGCCAATACAATGGGTACAAAACTATACCTCACTGTTGATTTTCATTTAATCAAGTTTATTGAGGTATATAATTTATGAGCATGAAATTGCTCATTTTAAGAATAGTTTGGCGGGGCTGGGGATTTAGCTCAGCGGCATAAGCACCTGCCTTACAAGCAGGTGGTCATGAGTTCAATCCCCAGTACTGATAAAAAGAAAAAAAAGAAAAAAAAAAAGATTAGTTTGGCTAGGTGTGGTAATAATGCCTATAATCCCAGAACTCAGGAGACTGACGCAGGAGGATTGCTATGAGTTTGAGAAAATCTTGTCTTTGTGAAGTCTTTTGTTTTTGGTACCAGGACCTCATGCTTGGCAGGCAGGCACAGCGTGATTGAGCTATATCCCCAGCCCTGGAAACCTTGTCTTAAAATGAAGCAAAGTATAGCTGGGCGTGGTGGCTCACGCCTGCAATCCCAGCACTCAGGAGGCTGAGGTAGGAGGATCGTTGCAAGTTCGAGACCAGCCTGGGCTACAAAGTGAGCTCAAGGCCAGCTTGAACTGCATAGAGAGACCCTGTCTCAAAACAAAAAATTAAATTAAATTGAATTAAATTTTAAAAAGGCTGGGGGTGTAGGTCCATATGAAGACCCTATGTTCAGCCCCCAGGACTGAAAGGAAGAAAGAAAAACACTGTGTTTTTTATAAATATATATATATTAACATAATCACTATAAGAATCAGAACAGAAAGCATTGCTATTACCTCAAAAGAGTTCCCTCTCTATCTCTACTCAATCTCCAGACAACCATTTATGTGCTTTCTACTGGTCCAGGATGATTTTGCCTGAAATTTCATGGAAATGGAACTATACAACATTCTTCCGTAAGACTTCTTTTGCTCAAAATAACATTTCTGAGGTTCATTTATATTGCTACCATTTACTGATAGTTTATTGCTTCTTATTGCCGAGTAATAATCCATTCTAATCTTTATTTGTTCAGTGGTAGTCGGATATTTGGGTTCTTTCCAGGTTTGGGATACTACAAAGGAAGCTTCTGTGAATGTCTGTGTACACAGAATACAGGCTTCTGTTCCCTTTCAGGAACTATCTTGAAGCGACATGGCTGGTTTATACAGCTTCCTAAAACCTGCAGAATTATTTTCCAAGCATGTTGTCTCAGCTACAGTCCGACCAGCAGACATCAGCACCTGGTCCCATGAGTCTTTTTAGCTGTAGTCTTTCTGGTGGGTACACGGTTCATGTCATCTTACTGGGATTTTAATTTGCATTCACTAACTGGGGGAGACTGATCGTGTGAGTGGTGTGTGTGGCACTGCAGTTCGTGTGGCTTCACCCCGAGTTACAATCCCAGCTCTTTTTTGAGACAGGCTCTCCCTAAACTACTAAATTGCCCAGGCTGGGCTTTAACTTGTGATCATCCTGCCTCACCCCCAGAGTTTGGGCTTACAGGCATGTGCCTCAAGCATGTTTTATCTTTTCCTCTCCTTCCTGCCTTTTCTCTTTCTCTCCCTCTTTTTTTCTCCTCCAGTACTAGAGATTCAACCTGAACCCAGAGGGTGCTGAACTACATTCCCAGTCCTTATTTTGGTTTTAATTTTAAGGCAGGTGTTGCTACACTGTCCACGTGGCTTTCAACTTCCAACCCTCCTGCCTCAGCTCCTCAGTAAGGAGGATTACAGGTGTGCACCTCCAAACCTAGCTTGGTTTTCTTTCCTGTGACTGTTGGTCTATTTCCTTTCTCTATCTTCCTAATAGATTATCTTTTTCTTCTTAAAAATTTATAATTTCCGGGGCTGGAGATTTAGCTCAGCGGCATAAGCGCCTGCCTTGCAAGCAGGCAGTCGTGAGTTCGATCCCCGATTCCGATAAAAAGGAAAAAGACAAAAAAAAAATTTATAATTTCCTTTCTCTATCTTCCTAATAGATTATCTTTTTCTTCTTGATTTACAATTTTCAAAAATAAGGGCTAGGGATTTAGCTCAGCAGCACAAGTGCCTCCCTGGCACTTGCATGAGTCAAGGCACTGCAAGGTCTTGAGTTTGATCCCTGGTGCCAAAGTGGGAATATATATATATTCCCACTTTCTACACACAGGAAATGGAGCCAGCAAAAGCTAAAGTGCTCAGAGCTCATCTTTCTCTTACCCTGGTGGCCACTCCTCCTCCTCCTCTTTGCTGGAAAAGTCTCACCTTTCAGTCTTCCTATGCTGGACCGCCCCAGGCCTCACGATGATGGCTGACCTCTCAGGTTCCCTCACTAGTTCCTTCCTTCCTGTAGGCACTGCCCACATCAACACACAACAGAATCTAGCTGGGAGGCTGAGACAGGAGGATCATAAGGTTAAGCACAGCCTGGGAAAGTGAGCGACACAGCAAGACCTTGTTTTGAAATAAGAAAAAATAAATATAAATAAAATGAATAAAAAGTTGGAGACAAAGCTCAGTGTAAAGGTCCTGTGTTCAAATCCAGTGCAGAAAAATAAAATGAAGGAAGGGAAGAAGGAAAAAAATTAAGAAGAGAAGGAAGGAAGAGGGAAAGGAAACAGGGAGACAGAAAAGGATCTACTTCCCATCCTCCTGAGTCGAGGCTGCTTTGAGCAATATAACACATTTTCTGTCCTAGCCGTTTGGTGGCCTGGCTGTGCAGATGCTTGAGCTTTGCTCCTGGAGAAGGGGGTGCCGCAGGGAGCTCCCCAGGACCCCAGATCTCTGAGCAAGGCCTTGCTTTGTTCTCTGGCCCATCTAAAATCAGAACCCATCGAGAGGTCCTGCGGCTGACAGGAGGCATGCACTGCACCCATTCCTGCCCCATGGGATGCTGAGAACTAGTAAGTGGAGCCTGTTTGTGTGTTCCCCTTCGTTTTGTTCTGTGTGTGGTGCTAAGTGAATATAGCTAGCAAGCACTCCACCACTGAGCCACACTTCTTAGGTTTTTTAAAGCTATGATACCTTACTCAGCAGTGAATAACCAAACGCTCTTGACCCTGAACCTCTTTCCCTTGCGCAAGCGATCCTGGAATCCCTATTGCTACACCAGCGCACAAGCTGGTGACTCCAGCTGCCAACCTGACCCAAAACTCCAGCGCATCACCCAACTTCCTTCTCGGTTGCCACATTTGGATGACTAGTAAGCACCTCAAAGTGAAAAGGACCCTCAGTCCTCTTTTTTAGGAGTTGAGTCCCTGCCATCATCAGCAAATGGTAAATTTGTCCTTCTTGTTTTAAAGGTCAACATTCTGGGAAATGGAGCCAACCACACTGGCACAGCCTGTAGTTCCTGCTACTTAAGAGGCTGAGGCAGGAGGAACATTTGAGCTCACAAATTCATGTAATGAGACTCTGTCTCAAAAACAAATAAATCAATAAAGACCAGGTGTGGTGGTGCACGCCTATAATCCCAGTATTTGGGAGGCTGAGGCAGGAGGATTGCTGCAAGCTCTAGGCCGGCCTGGGCTACAAAATGGGTTCCAAGGCCTGCCTGAACTGCATAGTGAGACCCTGTCTCAAAAAACAAAATAAACAAAAACCCATAAATAAATAAATAAAAATCTGAAAATCTGAGAATTGGGCTGGAGATTTCACTCTCACATTCAATCTTTTAGTAATTTTTTGGTCCACATCCAAAATGAATCCAAAATCTGACCTCTTCTAACCATTTCCTTCACCACATTCTGGTCCAATCCATTACTCCTCACCAGGGTAATAATAATAAAGTCCTAACTTACTTCTTTGCCTGCACTCTCATTTCCATTCACCCTAGCAGCAGCCAGAGTGATCTTTTAAGAAGTTCAAATCACTGGGCGAGGTGGCACATGCCTATAATCCCAGTACTCAGGAGGCTGAAGCAGGAGGAATGCTGTAAGTTCAAGGCCAGCCTGGGTTACAAAGTGAGTTCAAGGTCAATTTGAACTGCATAGTGAGACCCTGTCTCAACAAAAATGTTCAAGTCACTTCTCTGCTCTAAATCTTCCACAGCCTTTCTCTTTGTCCTAAAGTAAAACCCATATATATATATATATATATATATATATATATATGATATGTAATACATATGTAATATACATACATATGAATATGATAAGATATATAATACATATGTAATTACATATATATGATAAGGGATATATCTAGAATATATAAAGAACTATTGCTATTCAATAATAAAAAGACAAATAATAAGACCACTAACCTAAGTAAAATATGAGAAAAAGATGTCAATAAACATTTCTGAAAATGAGATACACAGGTAACAAAAAAGTATATTTAAAAATGCTTGCCTTCACTATATATGAGGAAAATATAAATCAAAAGCACCACAAGAGGCTACTTTATACCCACTAAAATAGCTATAATATTTTAAAAAGTCAAAAAAAGGAATGTAGAGGCTGGGTGTGGTGGCTCACACCTATAGTTCAGCACTTGGTAGGCTGAGGCAGGAAGATCTCTGTGAATTCCAATGCAGTCTGGACTACATAGTGAGTCTGAGACCAGCCTGAACTACAGAGTGAGATCCTGTCTCAAACAAACAAACAAAAAGGGTAGAGAAATTAGAAACTGGTACACTGGTGGGAAATTAGAAAGTTGTAAAATGATTTCCCCTTTGGAAAACAGTCTAGCAAAAGGTTATCACAGTTACCATGACACACAATCCTATTCCTAGCTATTCCAAGATAAAAGGAAACACAAATATACATGAAAACGTACATGTAACACCTATCAGTGTTATTTATAACCAAAACAACTCAAATATCCAACAACTGATGTGTGAATGAATACAATGTCACATAACCATACTGTAGAATATTATTACACAATAGAAATGAATGAGAAGGCCAGGCATGGTGGTGCACACCTGTAACCTAGCACCAGGGAGGCTGATGAAGGAGGATTGCTGGGAATTTGAGGCCAGCTTAGACTACCACTGAGTTCAAAGCCAGGCTGAACTACCTGGTGAGACCTTTTCTCAAAAAAAAAAAAAAAAACACAAAACAAAAATAACAAATCTATTAATTGTTTTAAAAAAAATGAATGAGGTAGGGCTTGGGATATAGCACAGCACCTGCCTGGCAAGCGCAAGGCTGTAAGTTCAATTCCCAATACTAAAAAGAAAAGAGCAAGAGAATGCAGCATTGAAGCATGCTAAAACACTAATGAATTTTGCAACAGTAGGCTAGATGTGCCTGTATATATGTTGTATGCCTACAGTCTCAGTTACTGGAAAGGCTGAGGCAAGATTTCAGGCAAGGAGTTGGGGCTGGGGGTTTAGCTCAGTGGCATAAGCGCCTGCCTTACAAGTGTGCGGTTGTGAGTTTGATCCCTAGTACTGATAAAAAGGAAAAAGACAAAAAAAAAAAAAAAAAAAAAAAAAGATTTCAGGCAAGGAGTTTGTTGCTGGGGCAATATAAAGAAACCCCATTTCAAAAAAAGAGAAGGGGGTTGGAAGGAAAAGAAAGAGGAAAAAAACATTCAGCTAAGTGAAAGAAGTCTGTTTCAAAGGAACACGTACTGCATTATTTTGTTTCTATGCGTTGTCCAGAAATGCAAATCCACAGAGATAGTGGTTGCCCAGAGCCAGGGCTGTGAGATTACAGCTAAGAGTTAGACGGCTTTAGAGGTTATGAAAGAATTTTAAAGTTGACTGTAGGACTGGTGTACTGGCAAACCCCTGTAATCCCAGCGCTTGGGAGGCTGAGGCAGGAGGATCACCAAGAGTTAGAGGCCAGCCTGAGATACATAGTGAGTTCAAGGCCAACCTGAACTGTACAATGAGACCCTGTCTCAAAAAAATAATTGTTTTGTAATGATCATTGCATGACTCTGTGAATATACAAGAAGGATTTCTTTCATACTTCAAACGATTGAATGTATGGACTGTAAATTAAGTCTCAAAACAGCTTCAAACAACAAACTCAAGTCTTACTGTGACCTACAAGGTCCTCCCCTGAGTGACGTCACCTCACACCATCTTCTCTTTGCTCGCTCTCCACTGCATTCTCAGCCTCCTGGATGCCTGCAGTCTCATCCATCACACTCCCAGCTCAGAGCCAGGTCTGGATCATAGCCAAGCAGTCCGTGCACTGCACAGTGTGAACTGTAATCTGGGCTCTGCCTACTGAGCTCCTCTGGGCCTCGCCTCTTGCACTGGTCGTTGTCCCTGATAGGCACAGAGGCGTATGCGGTTGCCTGCACCGTGCAGCCCCACGCACACCCATATCTTTCTCTCTCTCTCTCTCTCTCTCTCACCCTTGTCTTCCTTGACATCCCAGAGCCACCTGCCACCTGCTACACTGAGGTCAGGTGTTGGCCTCCGCCTGTCTCCATTAGAGTGAGAGCTTTGTTTAGGTTACCACCATGTCCAGAATAATGTCTAGCACGTAGCAGGTGCTCAGCATGTATTTCTTTTTTTTTTTGGTACTGGGGATCAAACTCACAACCTAGAGCTTGCCAGGCAGGCACTTACGTCGCTGAGCTAAATCCTGGCCACAATATGTATTTCTTTTTTAAAAATATTAAATTAAAAACCCCAGCTATGGGGCTGAGGATTTAGCTCAGCAGCATAAGCACCTGCCTTGTACGCACGTGGTCATGAGTTTGATCCCTGGTACCAATAAAAAAAAAAAAAGCCAGCTATTTCTTAAGTGAGTCAATGAATATGGCAGAAGGAAGTGATCACCATAGCCATTCACATGGACCAGTTTCTGGGCATGGCAGTCTATTCTTAGTCTGAGCTACTCAGGAGCTGAGGCAGGAGGATTGCTTAAACCCTGGTGTTTGAGTCCAGTCTAAACAACATAGCGAGACTTCACTTAGAAACAAGTAAAACAGCAACTTAAAGGGTCCAACAAGGTGTGAAGCGGGCCCTCGCGGAGGAAGGAAGCCACTCGGAGCTGGTCTCTTACCTGATCCTTGGTGTAGTACTTGAGGAGACCTTCTCCTGCCAGCAGGACAAACCTCCTCCGTAGATACTGTCCATTGTCCCTTCCCCGCTTCCACAGGATTCCTTCTCGGTTACCTGACCCACAGGAACGAGCAGGAGTGAACACCTTGGACCTTCAGATGCATGAGGGGCTCTGAGCGCTCCCCCATCATCCAGGCTCTCCCATCGGACTCAGCTGTTCCAGCTGCAGCATGGAAAGTTCCAGTCTGCAGGGAACCCCACAATGTCTTATCATTTTGGGAGGACTCCCCACCTCGGGAACCCTTCTTCCCCGGCTCTCCAGGGAGCCAGGCCATCCCACTAGATGACATGATAAACTCACAAGAAAGCTAGAGCCTGAGAAACTGGATGAATGCTACAAGAGGCCTAAATATACACTGACAGCGGCCTGACAGGACTCTGGGGATTCTGGGTGACCTTGAGGCATCTGCCAGTCTGAAGAATAATTTGCATTTCTGTAGCAGAGAGAGCAGTGAGCTGGTTTCCTCTGGTCCTCCCCTAGTGGTTTCCTGCCCTTTTCTCTGTAGGGCAGGGTTGGACTCAGGGTGGTAGGTGAAAACAGCCATAGATCCAGGGTCACCAACATGGTCACACCCCTGCACACTGAAGGACAGGGAGGCCGAACCCAGGCCACGCACCAAGACTTAAGCCCCGCCAGCAGCTGAATTAGCCAGAAGCAGGGTGCTCTGAGGGCTCGGCAGCAGCTCATATTGGGGCTCTGTAGCACTGTGGCTTGGCAAGGACCTGAGGCCCATCTGCTTCTCAGACCATAAACCCCACCTGCCCACCAGGTGCCTGCTGTTCCCAGGCACAAGAGCCAATCCCTTGGTTGCAGGGGCACCTCGGGGCAGCAGGTATCTTGCAGATGGATCCTACTGCTAATACGCAGCCTCCTCAGAATACAGATCTCAAAGATAAGAAAACAGCTTTACCTGGGGGGAGGAGCGGTTTCCCATCAGCCATAAACTCCTGCCTCTCATACTTAGCTCGAATCCATTGCTCCTTTAAGACCCTAAAGACAGAGAAGCTCTGGTCAGCCGTGTCTGCTGCTGTCTCTCCCCAGGACCTTTCCCAGATCCAAAGCCGAGGGTGGGAACATCACTGCCACTGTCTTCTTGCCTGTTCAGCCCATCTGGGGCTTTTGGCCTCAGGATGTTAATGTCCAGTGCTGGGTCATTCTTTGTTGTGGAGGGGTGTGCCGGGCTTTGTAAGAACACTCTGACCTCTACCAACTAGAGGCCAGTGGCACTCACTACCCCAGATATGACACTCAGAGTATCTCTAGACATCCCCAAATGTCTTCAGGGAGGACACATTTCTCCCCACCAGCTGAGAACCACCCAGCCGGACTCTCCCAACCACAGCCTCAGCTCTCTGGGTAATTAAGGAAGGCGCAGCCTCCTGGGAATCTCCAAGGTCTTCCTGCTGCATGGTCATGAACGTGAGCCAGGAAAGTCTAGGAGCCTCTTCCTGTGCCTGGTCTTGAATCCTGGGCATGTGACACTGGGCAAGCAATGGCCTTGAGCCTGACCACCTGCATCTGTGGTCAATGCAGTCCACCGTGTGACCAAAAACAAGACACTTAACTCCTCTAAACTTGGGGAATATGTCAGTGTTGTGACATCTACTCATTCTTCAACATGGTTAAGAAGTTGAAATGTATGTAAGAGGCCCAGCACCGTGGCTGGCATGAAGCAGGTGTTTAATGCTACCTCAGTCAGATGTCATCATGCATGACACCCACGGCGCAACCGTGCAGCCCAGAGTAGAACTATTTTCACTGTTTTGTTCCCTCTCACTTTTTCCAGGTAAACATTCCAAGGATTCGGCGACCTGGCCACTAGAATGACTTAATGCTGAGCATTCAGAGCTTTGGGCTGCATGGGCCAAAATGGAGAGATTGATTGGAAGCCCTCTCCAGGGTCATGCCGGACAGTGTAGCCTGGCATCTGGAAGTGACCTGCTGCCAGCTGCGTGAAGAAAGCCTGGCTTAGAGGAAATTTAGGACAAGCCAGAGTGTGAAAGGCCTGATGACCTTTGTGGCCCTGCCGGAGGGTGGGGTTTCACCTCCATCCTTCCTGTGGTCTGACACCCAGGACCTGACAAGTCCTCCTCAGCTTGAGCCGGCTTACACTGGGTCTCTATCACTTACAGTCAAGAGTACTTCAGCTCTTACTCCTAGGACACCGAAGAGAACCACCAGGCACACAAGAAAGGTGGGAACCCCAGGCTACAGGGTCAGAGCAGAGAGGGGGATTGGACACCCAGGGCACCGTGGGGAATTTAGAGGAGGTTTAGAACTGAGCATGGTGGCCACCAGTACCCAACTCAAAAGGATTAAAATGCAGGCCGTGCTGTGAAGTGACTGGAGCTAGGCACACCCCGCAGCTGGCCCAGGACCATGCAGCATCTGGAAACTGACACCAAACTACATTAAAACCAGTGTGGTCAGATGTAGTGGCATTTGCTTGTAATCTCAGCATTTGGGAGGCTGAGGCAAGAGGATCCAGGCCAGCCTGAACTGTATATCGAGACTCTGTCCTTATAAAACAAAACAATGCAAAACAAAATTAGCATATCAGGTGGCAAGTGAGAGGTGTGACATAAATTTTCTCTGCCTATATTTCAGAGATGAGATCCGGTAGCTTGTCCACCTCCTCACAGTTTGGGGTGGTCAAGGTAAGACACAAAACAGAGGACTTCTGAACAGAAAGCTGTATCACCACACTGCTACAATATGCTGCATCAGCATCCTGGGGTTACCTAAGGACCACCTACAGGGTCACCAGATACAGTTACGTAGCTTGTGCACTGCTCAAAAGCACTCCAAAGTAGGCGAAATACAACTTGCTCCCTGCTGGCTGTGTCTGCCTGGGGGATTTTCTTCGTCCCATTTACACAGGGCGCTGTCTATCAGCCCTGGTAAGTAAGGCTGGGTCCTGGTGAAGCAGGGTCAGGGCCAGGCAGTGAGACCTTTGGAGGTCCAAGGCCACCAGGTACCAGTTTCACTCTGACCTCCCGCCCTCCTGCTGCTTCATAACCGTCCTGGCATAGTGGATTCTCCTAACCACAGGCTCCCTGTCCCTGGTGTCAGATGGGCTCGAGCATCACAGGGATAACAGCAATATCTGGGGCCACTGAGAATAGGAAAAAATAGAGCCTGGTAGCAGTTAGCACCATGTTTGGCCTACAGGAGAAGTTCAGGGAATATTAGTAGCTATTGTTAGATTTATGGTTATGATTTAGGATCCCAGCTTAGTTGAGTCTTTTGGAGCCAGCCTTAGGCAGGACAACCCTACACTACCCTCAACAGGAAATAGCTGAAACATACTTGTTCTATAAAACACCAACACTTGTCCCTCTCTCAAAAAGTCAGAGGCAGAGAGCTACATCAGAGAAAAAACCCCACTGCACAGCTATGGAGTCTGAGGCCCAGGTAAAAGGAATGACATAGCAGGACCACAGGCTTAAACCAAGCTGTCTCTCTGTCTCTCTGTCTCTGTCTCTCTCTTCCTCCCTTCTTTTTCTTTTTGTGGCGCTGGGGATCTAACCAAGGGCCTTTGGACTAGCTACATCCCCCGCCCTTTTATTTACTTATTTGTTTTTGTTTTTTTTTTTTTATATATCATTGGTACTGGGGATAGAACTCACAACCATGCGCTTGCAAGGCAGGCGCTTATGTCGCTGAGCTAAATCCCCAGCCCCAGCCCTTTTATTTTTAAGACAGACTCTTGCTAAATTGCTCACAGTGGGTTTGAATTTACAATCCTCCTGCCTCAGCATCCTGGAGTGTTGAGATTACAGGCATGCGTCACCAAGTCTGATTTCCCTTTTTGTTTGTTTGGTTGGTTTTTTTGTCTCTTTGAGACAAGGTCTCACTATGCAGTTCAGGCTGGCCTTGAGCTCACTTTGTAGCCCAGGCTGGTCTCAGACTCACAATAATCCTCCTGCCTCAGCTTCCCGAGGGCTGTGATTACAAGCCTGTGCCACCACACCTAGCTTGATTTCCTTTTTTTTTTTTTTACCGTACTGGATATTGAACCCAAGGCTTTGCACGTGCTTGCCAAGCACTCCACCACTGAGGTTATCTCTAGCTCCTTTTATTTTTTGGGAGGGACAGATTCTCCTTAATTTGTTTAGGCTGGCCTTGAACATGTAATTCTCTTGTCTCAGCCTCTAAGTAGCTGGGAGTATAGGAGTACACCAGTGCACCCTACTAAACCAGGATTCTTCAAATTCTTTTTTTTTTTTGTACCGAGGATTGAACTCACAACCTCGTGCTTGCCAGGCAGGCATTTACACCACTGAGCTAAATCCCCAGCCCTTAAACCAGGATTCTTAACCCATCCTCCATGACAGTACCACATATATCCCTGGATCTATCTATTGATGCAGTGACGACCACCCACAGGTACTAGAGATGGGTGGGGTGGGGAAGGTGGAAGCAAGAAGGACCCCGCTCTTGCCCCTAAGAAGTGGCCCACTCACAGGCAGTCATTGGCCTGGGGGATGTAGTAGAAAGCTGGGACTCTGGCTTCGAACTTGGCCTTCACACGCAGGTTTCCATTGTGGCTCATGAACTGCAAGACAACAGTAACTAGTGCTCAAATCAGAACTTAACAAAACTGTGGAATGAGACCACAGTCTACCCAGAATGCCACCCATCTCACTGGCTCCTGGCTGGGTCGGAAGACAGCACCACTGCTGGAAAGCGCCAGAGTAGCACGGTGAGGGTCCATACAACCCATGCCTCATGCCCAGCAGCTCTTTGCCCTCAGCATTTTGCTGCTTTCATCCTCACTTAGGAGATGAGAAAACTGAGGCTCAGAGAGGTTAGATGAACTGCCCAAGGCGATGCAGCTTGCAAGCGGAAAACTAAGATTCAAACCCAACCCTGTGTGACTCCAAGCTTGTGTTCTTTCTCCCACTTCCTCCATTGATGGCCAGCACCCCCAGTGGGCCCAGAGGCCCAGGCAGCTGGAGAGTGCAAGAAGCAAGTGCTGGCCCCATAGAGACACAGGTCAGCAGGACCAGTGGCTGAGAGGCCAAGAGTGGACATGCCAGTGGCATATCCAGGGCAAGGGCAGGAAAGGGAAGGGACACTAGGTTGTTAATGCATATCCCTTGGGCAGAGTGAACTCCAGCCTTCTCCTCCCAGGGTAATCCCTGGACTTCCCAGGATGTGCACCAGCTTTGGGTCCCAACAGGGCAGGGCTCACGTCTCAACTCTGCCGTTTAGTCCATGAGTGAGTCCCCAAAGGTCTGTGACACCCACAAAGATGATGTAAAGGGGCTGGGGATTTAGCTCAGTAGCATGAGTGCCTGCCTTGCAAGTGTGCTGTTGAGTTCAATCCCCGGTACCGATTAAAAAAAAAAAAAAAAAAAATGACGTAAAGAGGACAGGAGAGTCACGACGCACAAATAAAATCTGAGAGGATCCTGTGCCGGTAAAAATGGGTTTCCCGCGTGCTTCCTGCACTAGCACAGAAGCCTGGGATGAGCAGGGACCTCCCTCAGCACCCAATACACAGTGGGCTCACAGGAGCTACGTGCTAAGCATAGCCCAGCCCAGCACACAGTAGGTGTTCAGTTAAGTCACCAGCTCCCCTAGTCCCGACTGAACCCTTCAGCCAACAAGCAGAGTGTGGAAGTGCCGGCTCTCTGAAGGCTTTACCAGCCACAATGGCATGACTGTCCGGACTGAGAACGTCTGTCATGCCCATAAGACACAAGGCCAAAGTGTTCCCTTCCCTGCCTGGGGGAGAGAAAGAGGAGAGCATAGACCAAGGACCAGGATACTTCTCTTCCCCTGGTCTAAGGCTCCCACTAATGACAACAGCAACTGTTAACTGACAGCTTACTTTGTGCCTGGATGGAGTTTGCCTTGAATCTTTACAGCAGCCCTGCAAAAGTAACTAGCTCAGGCCCTCAGCTCATGAGCCAGCAAGTGAGGTGTTAGCATTTGAACTCAGGGCCCTTGTGTGAACCTCTACCTGCGAGGCTGTGCGTCCTCTCCTTAGCTGTGTTTCTCTCTGGTCTTCAGTTTTCCCCCTCCTTCAGCCTTTACCCCAGTTCTAGCTTTCAGGTTTGCACACGAGCGCCTTTTTACCTCCACAATGTGGTCATCCCAGAAGTCAAGCCTCACGGATTTGACTTTGCTGATGTCGGGGAAGTTGCGGTGGACGCCAGAGCAGTGGAGACAGATAAAGATCCCCAGCTTGTAGGATGCCCAGTCGGGATCTGCAGGCACGGAGTGGGGGTGGAATGGTAAGGTACCAGAGCTTAGCAGAGCAGGGTGACAGGAGTCCGGGGTGGGCTGGGGGCGCGCAGGGCAGGCTGAGGCTGCAGGGTGCCATGGCCTTCTCTGCCCCTGCGGGACTCCTTCTCTCTAGGTCTCCCCACCTTGGACCCCTAAAATCGCCCGCAGGAAGCTTTGCGGTCAGCGCACCCACAGTCCAGGGTTAGAGGAGGGCGCGACGTGGAAGCGACAGCACCGAGGGGGAACCGAGAGGAGCGCGCGGGAGGGACTCGCACAGCGCAGCAAGGGGGGAGGTCTGAGCCCGGGAAAGGGGTTTGGGGAGCCGGGAGAGTCGGGCAGCGGGCCCGGGCTGGGGGCCGGGGTCCCTCGGTGGGTGGGATGGAAGTCCCGGGGTCCGGAAGGTTGGCACAGGGACGTGGTGTCAGGCTAAGGTAGTGAGCGGAACGCCAGCGCGCGCGGCTCCGGATCCAGTGTCCGGTCGGGTCCCGAATGAGGAGTCCAGGTTAGGGTTCGGGTGGGCGGGGCAGGGCAGGGGCGCGAGGGAGGGAGGAGTCGGCAGGGCGCGGGCTACCTACCGGTCCGTGTGCGGGAGTCCCCGGCCGCGCCGCCCCGCGCCCCTCGCCCTCACCTGGCGCCCCGCAGTCGGCGCAGCGCGCGTTGCCGGTGTCCGCCGCGTGCAGCAGCTCCAGCAGCCGCTTCTTGTTGCGCTCGCGGTCGCCCATGGCCGGCCCGCCGGGCTCCACGGGCTCAGCGGCGCCGTCCGGGCCGCGGCCACGCAGGCCGCCCCGCCCCCGCGGCCCTTCCGCCCCGCCTCGGCACAGGCGCGGCGTCGGGTCCCCGCGGTGCGCTGCGCGCGGTTCGCTGCCGGCTCAGCCTCTCTGGGCCTCAGTTTCCATCGCCGGCAGAGAGGAGACGGGTTTATGCCTTTGTCTCAAGGCCCTTGGGGAAAGTTGAACAATCTAACTTCTGATCAAGCGCTCTACTGATGCAAGATCTTACACCCACTGAGACGTGAGGCTGCAGGAACAAGCCGCCTCCCGCGGAGCTCCCCTCACCCTATCCAGGATCCGGCCTTCCCTTTGGCTACCTCGCACTGGGGCGATTTATATACAGTACTTGTGCCAGTTCCACCCTCTGATGCCAAACACTAGACAGTTCAACGTCAGCAGATTAGGTCTGTGACTCTAATGGCTCCTAAAACCAGTATCTGCACCTTTTCTCTTTCCTTTCTTTTGGAGGGAGGAGGAGGGGGAGACTTGCCCTGATGCTGAGGATTGGACCCAGGGCCTCCAGCAAAGCCAGGCTGGCGTTCTACCACTGACGCACATCGTTAGCCCTTCCTAAAATCTTATTTCGAAACAGGATCTCACCAAGTCATTCGGTTGCCCAAACTGGCAGCCAACTCCCCATCTTCCTGCCTCAAACTCCCCAGTAGCCAGAGTCACAGGCATGTGACATCATGTCACTCACGTGCTTGCTTATTTATTTATTGAGACAGGGTCTCTCCATGTAGCATAAACTGGCCTCGAACTAATAGTGATTCTCCTGCCTCAGCCTCCTCCTGAGTGATGGGATTACAGGTATGGGTCACCACACCTAGCATGCTTTTTAAATTACAAAAACTAGTTGCACACCTGTGAAGTTTCATCACCAGGAGATGTGGGCAGGGCTTAGGTAATCATGAAGCTGAGCATCTCATCAAGCTCCTTCCCTGCATGTTACCATCCTCAGCGACTAAGAGGCTGCTGGTTCACAGGAGTCAGCTCCTCTGTGTGTGAGCACCCATTTATCCTATTAGTACGGCTTAAGGAACAGGCTGTTAGGTTCCCTCCCTAGCGCATGGAATCTGATAATCTAGCTGACCTGCTTGCACCGCAGTATAATAGAATGCAAAGAAGCCAGGAATCCACAAGTTCAGGTTTTAGTTGTTGGCTCCATTACTTTCTAGGTGTTCATCTTTGGACAGGTTCCCTCATTTCTCTGAGCCTTGCACTCCTCTGTAAAATCAAGATATTGAGATCCACCTATTAGGATCTTTATGTGCCATAAAGCTACCAAAACACAGTGGCTGAATTGTTTCCCTGCTCCTCTGATCAGCTTGTGGAGTTGTCATCTGTAGTGCTGTGTGTCATTTTCCATCATCCCTAAAATGGAAGAGGTCAATTTCCCATCATCCCTAGCATGGAAGAGGTCAATTTCCCATCATCCGTAGAATGGAAAGGGTCAAGCCACCAGCCCAGAGGAAGGAGACAGAGGCATTCCCAAGAACAACCAGCCACGTGGGGTCTTGACTGTGTGGAGGCGATGAGGCTTAGCCCAGGGTCAGCCATAGAGGGCACGGTGAGAGAGCAGCTTGGGGCCAGAGGACGAGGCTAAACAAGCCAGATGATGCATTCCTGCTGCTTTGGATGAACAAAGAGAAAGAAGTCAATCTCCTAGGAGAAAGGTGGGAAAGCCAGCCCAAAGTATGAAGAGACAGGGTGGGGGAATAAAGAGGGATGAGCTGAGGACATTTCTCCTTAGGCCCATGCCAGGGCAAAACTGTGCCCTTGCTCTTCTCGGCATCCTGATTCACCAGCTCCCTGAGCTCCCAAAACCAACCTACGGAAAACATAGCACATGTCTCATGCCTTCCAGAGAGCCAGGAACTGAGAGGACACCTTCGTTTTCCTGCTTCCTATTTTTGGTTTTCATTTACCGGGAATCAAAGCATAGAATTTCAGGCATCCTTAGAACTGAAAAAGAAAACAAACAACAGCGAAACCTCTGTCATTTGGTTGTGACAGGCTCTTTCCCTGCTTTCTTCCCTGCTTGGCGGGGCAGGGGTGCTAGTGACATGTCCTGAGTGTTCTGCAGAAGAGCTCTTCACATTTAGTACCTGTGAGCTGTGAGATCCCCCTTCGAGGGCGGCAGGCTATCAAACACCTTGCAGACAAGCAGCTGAGCCTCCAAGGAATTGAATCACCCAATGTCCCCAAGGCAAGGAGCAAATGGGCCTAAACACAGGTCTCTTATCTTAGTGTCCCTTATTCACAGGTTATTTCATGAAACCCATTCTCTTTAGTCCTCTCATTCTTGATTTTTTTGTTCACTTTCATCTGCACTTTTTCTTTGTTTTCTGAGACAGGTCTTGCTATATAGTTCAGGCTGGCCTCGACTCATGACGATCCTCCTGTCTCAGCCTCCCAAGGGCTGGGATTACAGGCAGGCACTACCATTCCCGGCATTTTCATATACATTTAATGAATACAATGTCATGATTTGATACACATAAACACTGTAAAAGGATGATCAGAAATAATATGACTCATCGCCACCCATGCTGTATATTAGATCCCCAGAACTTGTTTTATAATTTAAAGTTTGTATCCTTTAAGGGCTGGGGATTTAGCTCAGTGGCATAAGCACCTGCCTTGCAAGTGTGCAGTTGTGAGTTCGATCCCAGTACCGATTAAAAAAAAAGTTTGTACTCTTTATTTTCACCACTATTCTGAAAACTTTCACGGCCCCACACAGAAACTCTGTTGCTGCTCATGGGTGCTGGTAACAGTTGAGCGTAGTGCTCAGGAGCTAGAGGCTGCACCAAAGGGAAGAGCACTACACAGAGGTGACGTGACCAAGGATTGCAGTACAGGGTGGGTTGAGGCAGTCTCTCTGGGGAGTTGGGTCTGGACCGCAGCTGTGGGGGTGAGGGACAGAATGTCCTCTGTAAATAAAGCCAGCAGGGTCTTTGGAGCACTGACATCCTGTGGTGTCCCCGGAGCACTGTGTCCCCAGCTGCCGTGGGGCTGGAAGCAAGCCCCTGCTGCATTCCCAGGAACAGGCTCAGGATCCCCAGGGGACAGTGTGTGAAGCTTTTGTGAATTCAAATGTTTATTAGTTTATTAGTTTTAAAATTTTGAAGAAAATTATAATTATAGGAAATTTGGAAAATATAGGAAAGAAAGAAAAACCGTTCATAATTACAGCCACAGTTTACTCAGGGATTGCAGTGCGCCAAGCCATTAACATAGTATTACTCCGTTTAACCCTTGCTATATCCTGAAATGTAGTTTTATGCCCATTTTACAGATGAGGTAACTGTGACCCACAGAGAGGCTAAGTAAATTTGTTCAAGGTTACACAACTGAGATGACGCATCCTGGGTAATGCACAGTACTGGAGCTGAGATTTAAATCCATGTTTGTGTTGGATCCTTTCCACCAAAACATAAGATTGAATCAGATGAACTTCACTAATTAGAAAAATGACAATGTCATTCCTGGTACCGAAAAAAAAAGAAGAAAAAAAAAGTAAAGAAAAATGGCAGTGTTGCTGGGTGTGGTGGCTCACGCCTGTAATCCCAGCACTTGAAAGGCTGAGATGGGAGGATCATTGCGAGTTCGAGACCAGCCTGGAGTGCTGGGATTACAGGCATGGGACCACACCAAGCTGGACAGATGGATTTTGACCAATTTTTGCTGCTATACATAATGTTGTAATGATTGTCTTTTGCATCCAATTTTTTTCATCTTTAAAGTTGTATTTTTGAGCACTGCACTAACAGGCAGGCAAGAGAAAGAGCTGACAGTGAAGTGGTATACCAGAGAGTCTGCTAGAGGTGACCTGTATTCAATTTCACTTTGCCTTCAACAACAGAAATCAGCTTGGCATCCAGAGAGACCCCTAATCTAATATGCCAAGCTGCGTGTCATCCATTCATTAAGTGGAGTATTTATAGGGCACCTAGTGTAGGCCCAGCACTGTGAAGGGTGGTGGGGAGAAATGAATATGCATATACACAACATGGTTGAAGAGTGATAATGATATAAAGAATAAAGGGATAGAGAAAGATAAAAGGTATTATTGTAAATAAAGGTCAAGGAAGTCCTCTCTGATGAGGTGACCTATAAGGAAGGGGTCAAGCCAACTCTGCACCCAAGACAGCAGCATCTAGGAAGTGACAAGAGGAAGTGCAAAGGTCCTGGGGTGGTGATACTTGGTGTGTGTATTGTCTGGCTCCTTTGAGCACAGGGCTATCCAACTGCATGCTGTTGGGTATTACTTATGTTGCTCCCTGTCCTACTGAGGCCCTCTCCTCCTCTACTCTAGATCCTATCAGTCTAGGAAGTGTGTGTTCACATTCAAATTCAAATTTGACTTCTTGCAGCTTGCATTTATCTTCTGCACCTGTGCTCCCACAAAATTATTCATATTTCTATTATAACAGCTATTGCTTTGTACTATGGCTGTTTTTATGTCTATTTTGTTCCAGTCACCAGTGATCTGGTGAAGAGCAGATTGCCATATTCATCTTTGTAACCTTGAAGCAGTGAGCGTATTGGGTCCAAAATATGGTTGATTCTTTTCTTTCTTTCTTTTTTTTTTTTTTTGGTCTTTTTCTTTTTTATTGGTACCAGAGATCGAACTCAAGACTGCCTGCTTGCAAGGCAGGCGCTTATGCCGCTGAGCTAAATCCCCAGCCCCTGGTTGACTCTTTTCTATGAAATACGTAGGATGGGTCAAACCACAGAGACAGGAAGCAGATTAGAATTTTTGGTGGGGTGGGAAAGGGAGATGACTGGAGGATGACTGCCAAGACGTGTGAGGCTATCTTTTGGGTTGTTAGAAATGCTCTGCACCTAGATAGCCATAATTGTTGTACAAGATTTGAGAATGGACTAAACACCACTTCATTGTACATCAAAATGTATGAATTTTGCCTCATTTTTAAAAGATGGGGGGCTGAATGGAGTGGAATTGAGGCCATCATTACACAACCCAGTTTATGCAAATTTGCATTCTGAATAAAATACAGCAACCCAGAAGAAATCCAGAGAATGGAAAACTGCAACCTGTGAAATCTACAGATCCTGAAAATAAATCCAAAGCAGTCACAAGATCATTGCTTACATGTTAGACATTACTGGAGCACGGAAGGAGAAGTTAGTCTTAGAGGTTTAGTCCCGACTACAACTAAAGGGATTAGAGTGACATCTGTTGGAAATTTGAACTTTGAGGGGAAGTGTCCCTCAGGGAGCTGGGCTATAAAAACCAGGCTCTAAAACCCCAGTTATGCCTATTAACCACATAAGGTGCTGTGCTACAAACTGTTGGGTATTTTCCTCCCGAGGTTGTTTCTGAGACAATCACACTTCATCTGCAACTATATAATCAGTGGTCCTGTTAGTAATGTTTCTGGTATAACACTGTGCATTGTAACAAGGATTTCTATATTTTGGTTTCTGCAGCAGTCATTTGAGAGTGGAACTTTGGGTTTTATTTTGCAAAAAGGAAAACT